ATTTGGAAACTGCCTAGCCATTATGGGGTGCAGTCAACAACTATACACCTTATCAAACAGTTGTGTGACAAGTAATCCACAACGGGAAACTGATGGAATCCTTCGAAGTGAAGACGGGAGTAAGACAAGGCCGGCTGGCTGGCTGACTGCTATCTCCAAGGATTTTCCTGACTGCAGTCGACTGGACAATGTGATTGACACAGAGAGGGCAACGACTGGACAGGATTAAAATGGAACCACACATAAAAGAACTTGGAGGATCTAGATTTCGCCGATGATATATGTCTGATTTCCCACAAAATGAAAGAAATGTAAGTGAAAAGCAAGACGTTGGTAGAAGAAGCATCCATATAAGATAAGACTTCCTTCAGGTGAACATAGAGTAAAAAGGTGTAGGTAATGAAGATCCCTGGCGAACAGCAAGAACCACGGTGACAACAACAAATAACAATCTGCACAAATGGGAGAAATATGAAAGAAACAACCTCCTTTACCTACCTACTCACCTATCTGCGAAGCATCGTTTCAACTGCAGGCGGATGGAACTGATGAGGATATCAAAGTGAGAATCAGGAAAGCAAGTCAAGCTTTCACCACTCTCAAGTCTGTGTGGAGATCGACACTCAGCACCTAGTATGAGAAACAAGATCCGGATTTTCAACTCCAATGTGAAGTCAGTCAGTGCTACTATACGGACCAGGGACTTGGCGTGGTGTCACGAAGGGAACTTCGAAGAAACTGCAGACCTTCATGAACAGCTGTCTTCGCTCAATACTGCTCAAGATCAGATGGCCAGAAATGATCAACAGTAAAGAGGGTTCTCTGGAAATGAGCGAACCAACGCAACACAAAACTGATGTTGACAGAGCACTTTCATCAAAGTTATCTACCACATTCTCACTATTCTTAATATAAATGTAAAAGTTGAGCACTGTAGTGTGGCACGTAATTCCGTATTGATTTGTTTGTGCGATATATCAGACAGTCAGTGTAACAGTATTATTTACAAGTAAATGACTAAGTCTCGAACACAATTCACTGTTCACCAACATTATATCAATTATAAATTCACAACTTTGAAACCACCGTTTTATAGTTTTCTTTGTTCTCTCCTACTCGTCGTTGTAGTGTAGTAGAATTTTACAGATGTCCAACTGCATAGGTGTTATATTATTCCTATTACACGTATTTGCACTTGATTTGACAAATAAAGCTTCTGTTATCAATCTCTCCCTCCACCCTGCTGTGACATTAGATTTCAAAACTGTCATCTTATCCCATCCATCCCATTGTATGGTTGTGTGTAATTGCATGTAATGAGTGCTACTCTCCAGATTTCTTGTCTTGTTATTCGCGTCAACCAAATCTAGATTTTGTTAGGTTTTTGTGCTCCGCTAGTCTGACCGACCCTGTTCCACTACTTTGACTTTTGTATTTGACCTGACAATCATTCCAGCAGGGTATTAGATAAACTAAATTGTTTTGTTTAATTGGCTCCGCAAGATCCTTCAACCGAAAAAGCTTGTATCTAATTTAGTTTGTGGATGGTTTGAATGACAGTCACTTGTATGGAATTACCACTGATGATTGAAATTCCCTGTTGTTGGTGTTGCCATTACCCTGTGCATGTTTGACATGCATGTCATTATTATTATTACCGTTATCACTACTTTTATTATCATTGATTTTAGTTTTAAATTTCTCTACATACTTCCTGACAAATTTATCAGGGTAATTATTAAGTTTCAGAGCTTCTCTTATATGCCTTACTTCCTGTCTCAGATTTTCGTTGATACTGGTTATTTTTTGTGCCCTATTACTTAGACATTTCACCAATCCTATTTTTACTGACATGAGATGCGATGGTTGGAAATCCAAATATCTTTTTGAATGTGTGGGTTTCCTGTGAACACACTAGTCTGTTTAACTTCCCATCTTTTTTCTTTTTCACGCTACAATCTAACATTGGAAGCTCCCCACTTCCTGACTTTTCAATTCACTTATGAATTGAAATGCCTCCACCTTCGAGTTGATATGTTCGGAAAAACTGAGTTTTACCGCCGGTGGACCACCACCATAGTTTTGGGATGGGATTGAACGTTTCAATCGCTTTGTTTTCCCACCTATCTTCATCAATATACCTAATCTTAAACTTCCCTCAAGAATCCGTCTGTTACACTCATATTACTGAGGCTGTCGAAATCCACATTACGCGGAAGAAGAAGCCTAACTTGTGTGTCCAAGAGAATTTGGTTCAAATTCTGTCTTTACTTGGGCTATGTTTCAACTATCCTTAATTTCTTGTATTGCTTTCTTTAGTTCTTAGAGAGACATAGGGCTAAACTCGTACGTATCCAAAAGTTTTCATCTGGCTCCCCGTTTACCCACATGCTTACACCTCCTCCATGTCGGCCTTGCACTGACGACCAACTCGCCGCTTTCCGTTTGGATTCCATTCGAGGTATGGCCTGGCGTGCGATGTTGCTTGATCATTCGTCTTCTTAGAGTATGACCAATCTACCTCCATTTCTTCCTGAATATTTGTTGCACAATTGGTTCTTGATGGATTGGTTCGCTCACATAGATCTCTGTTGCTGATCTTTGATGGCCGTCTGATCTTGAGTATTGAGCGAAGATAGCTGTTGACGACGGTGTGTAGTTTGTTTGAGGTGCTCCACATGAAAGTTTCGCGAAGGGGGAAATCTGGCAGTGGTTACCTCCTTCCCTTATATGACCATGAAGCATGGTTTCAACCAAAGGTAGCCAGAACAGATGAAGACGTCAAAGCCAGCGGCCAGCCAGCGTAAACAAAAATTTTCGGATTCTGTTCAACGCATATGTGAAGTCAGTCAGTCAGTCAGTTCTTCTTTACGCGTGAGAAAATTGGTCAGAGTGTCACGGAAACTATTTTCAACAAGTTACACACCTTTATCAACAACTGACGCCTTCGCTGGCTGGCTCCATGGTGAAGATCAGATGATCAGAGAGAAAGAATTAGTAACAAGAAACTCTGGCTGGCTGGCTGGCAACAAACCAGCTGATGAGAGTCGAATGCTCAAGAACTATGTAGGTGAAAATGGAGGTGGACTGATCGAGCATACGTCGAGGGGTCCGTCGAATGACATCGCGCCCAATGCAGGCTATCGCTCGCTTAAGAGGTGGATGAGAATTGACGAGCGGGTCATCAATGCGAGGGTGACATGGAGGAGATCGTTTGGGGCGGAGGAAAGAAACATTATGGGCAATTGTGTGGCTAGCCAGTAGATGAGGGCAGCATAAAATAGAAGTGAGTGGAGATGTGTTGTTGAAGGCAGCTCTATGTTCCACTCGGAACCCAAGGGAAATTTCAGATAGCAAATTACTTAATGCAAAAAAAAGTTAATCGGTTAGAAACTAAAATGAAGTGAAATAATTAGATTGAATGACGCAATATATAATTGAAGGGAATGAGTAGAATTCAGCTGAAATGGAATGACAGTCAAGTTAACAACAGTAGTAATAAGGGATAGAAATCTAATAGGAGGGGAAGACAAAACACAACCAATTATTACAGATCAGGTCCACATAGTTGATTTAATGACTGAACAAACTTCTTCGGTATGCAGAGTTTTGAATTTAACATGCGAATTGCCTGTACCTCGGCAGTTTACTGAAGTTTGATTCCTAGTCTTTCAGCAAGATTATAGAGTTTTCCACTGATGACTTTTAAATTGGTTTCGGGCTTAGAGTGGTTGGTGTCTAGGCTCGATGAGGTGTTCAAGGAGAGAGTAGTGGAGAGATCGTATTCCACCTTTATAGAACTATGAGGTAAAGTATTCGACACGACCTGATCATATAAGTGAAGGAATGGATCTTTTTAAAACTGTTAATAGTAGTTGGTGCTTGTTATCATCACCTCGCCTAGTCCACTAGTTCGCTTGTTTTCTAACCGGTCTTAAGATTAGGAGAAAAGATGATAAGTTGACTAACTGACTGCCCGACTGGTTTCAGCATAGACCTTTCCACCGATGTGCATCATTTCCAGTCGCCACACTCCCTCCATGTAGCACACAAAGCAAGAGAAGAAAGTAAAAAAGGAATGCAAAACAGAGACAGTAAACACAGACATGAAGCAAAAAGAATATTAATACCGAGGAACGAGATAGATTTTTATTGGATTGTACAAATCACAAAGTTTGAGTGCATCTACAACATTGAGATGGAGGATTTACAGCTATTTCACCCGTTGTCTCTAACACTGATTGGTTTTTACCGTCCCGAGGACCCTAACCAGACAGGAAGTCTACACCTTCCTACATGGCTGGCTGGCTGGCTGGCTTAAACTAGCTGTTGTGGATTTCATTGACTGATTAAATCATGTTGGTTTTGATTTGACCACTACTGGCCCCTTTACAACGTGACCCATCTTATATCAGCAAATATTGACCGTTATCGAGGAAAAAGATGGCTAGGCATGCATGCGTAACACATGTCCTAACTATCTCACTCAATCGATGTAACTTCACAACTTCATCGATTGATTTCAACACACCCCGCCTTACTTACCACTCGACCGATGCCTAACTTTAATAATTCTCATCCTATTTTACCACTTCTTACGGGATATGGAACGCAGACAGGCACCTATGACCAAAGAAGGCTGACAGTTGGGCTAGTGACCGTACTCCCGAGAATCAATCTAAGCACTGCAGAAACATGACAGCACTTACTGAGAAATGAGGGTACATCCAGCCGACAAGTCCTAAATAGGACGAAATGCACATCCTGGATTCCACTGCTAGTCACCATCCATCGATTAGATACTCACTAAATGCCCAGACATCGTCGAAGCATCTTCACAAGAAGCCGAAAAGAAGTCAACCTGAGACCGAGCACTTCGATCCAATCAATCGACGGGAAAATCTCAAATTCAAGAAAATTTAAATTGTATTGTAACATAAAAGCATATGTGAGAGATATATAAAAGTGTCAGTATTTCTATATACTATGCCATGACTCACTTGGATTGTGTATCAAATGATAATTTCACCTTATTCATAGCTGATACAAACCGTTCTTGTAAAACTGGCATCAGTTGGTAGGGCTAAAAGCACACCACAAGAAAAAAAACGAAATTAAGATAAACAAATCAAACATCCTAAACGTTTCTCTTTCCAACGTTGCAACGTTGTACCTGTTGCATGGAAAGACATTAAAATAGTCCATGTTCCTAAACCTGGAAATAGTAAGAATGTAAAATTCAGACACATTGCCATTACTCCCCATTACTTCTAAAGCTGACGGAAAAACTAGTATTTCTTAAACTTGAACCCTCCCTTGAAAGTTTTGAAGACCCCAAACAATCTGCATATAGACAGGGTAGGAACACTTTTGACGCTGCAGCCGTCTTACACAACAGTATCGCCTAGTCATTAGATAAAGGTGCCAAATAAGTTCGTTGCATGTTTCTCGACTTCACTTCTACTTTTGACTCTGCGCTTAGATGTCTCTTGCTAAACAAGCTCTCGGTGACACAAACTGAGTCCTGTGTCACAAAATGGTTGCATTCCTATGTCTCTAACAGAATGCAGTACACTGCATACAAAGGTAAATCCTCCTGTGCTGTGCCCACTGAAGCTGCTGTCCCCAAAGTGCTGTACTCTTCTCACTTCTGTTTTCTTTCTACATGACTTACCATCCTCAAATGACATTAGTTTTGTTAAATATGCTGAAGACCTGACCGTATGTTTGCCTGTCAAGTGTCAAAGTGACTGCTCCAAACTAAATGGCTTTTCATCAGAAATCAGCCAAACAGTCAATTTCACCTTTAGGCATAAATCTGAGCTGAACAAACTGGTTAGCACTCACGAGGTGTGCAACATTGATGGCAATGAAATAGAAACCAAGTTGGAAATTAAATATCTTGGCGTCATTCTATCTGCTGATCTTTCCTCGTCGTTTCATATCTTGATGATTTCTGAGAAAATATTCCGTCTTACCTCCTACATCAAGAAGTTAAGATATTCTGGAATAACCCAACCCTTACTCTTACGAATCGTTAACTCTTGCATCCTCCCTAATATTCTCTATTGTTCCCCCTTAGTTTTTCCAGGGCTACCGAAGAAGGACTATATCTTAGTACGTAGGGTGTTAAAAGTTGTCAGCAGAGTAAGCTACGTGCCACTTAACCAGCTTGTTAATATTTTGGTCGACAGGCACTTGGACTCATGTGAAAAATAGGCAAAATCCATTTTATCTAACTCACACCACCCCCTTCATTCACAACTCTCCTCTTGTATCTCATCAGGAAGAACAAGAAGCCTATATAGAAAACTATATGCTCTCACTAGCATGTACAAAAAGTCAGTCATACCCTACTTAGCTCGTGTTCTGTGCGATAAAGAAAGCATTAGGCGTGAAACTCACAACTTAATAAATAGTCAGTAGAACATCTGGATCTCATCTTTCCAACTCATATCATTTAAAGGTACAACGTTTTCTTTCTCTCTTTTCCTTTTCTCTCTCTCTCTTTTTGTTATGTGATGTTTTGTTTCTTTCTTCCTTACAAACTCTACGTAAAACATTCTTCTTCGTTCTTTCACACTCTGTATATCTCGAACTTTTGTTACCGCTTACACCAGTAAATAGGCCAATATCTACTTTTCTAACACCTTCAAACATTCTTTTCACTTTTGGCTTTGCTACCGATACCCTAATATGTTGTTGTCATAATGAACTGAGATTACCCTTATATCTATGTAGAATTTTATTTATTGATAATCTACAAACTGGATGGAATACTGTAGTGAAATGGTGAGAATTCCATTCAGTATCACAAGTACTGTTTTGGAATAAAGCAAATTATTATTATTATTAAAATAACGAATACAAGAATATGTTTATGGGTAAAATAGCTATCAATATTTCAGTACTGGCATTCTTAATTTACACTCTTAAACTACTAGATGGTTGAAGGCGATCAACAGGAAGACTTGACATTCACCAGTCAGTAAGGTGTATCGACAACCTTGAAGGAACTTAAGTTCGCCTGTTGAGATTACAGCCCGTGTCACTTAGTGGGGAAGTTAGAGATCTTACCGCTGAGCAGCTATTCGGGCCTGTGGTTGACTTCCTGTTAGTACTACATTGGATATTTTGGTTGGTTCATCGATTAGTAACTAGTGCCATGTATCTGGTCCTATGTTGACGTCTTCGCTGACCGGTGAGTGTCAACAAGCTTACAGCATAGATGTTTCAAGGCTTCCTGATGATTTCCTCCAACCATCTAATAAATGACAATTCATAGTCCAACGTGATGGCGAGCCAAACCCAGCCGAGTCATATAGAATGGTGGCCACATTGCACACTTGACCGACTGACTGACTGACTTCAGTCTTCACAGAAGAAAGGACTAGACGCATCGCACTAGTTACTAACTAGCGGCCAATCAAGGTACTCTTAAACTACATTACCAAGAACCAATGAACAATACAATAAGTACGGAGATTCTCAGTATAGAATTCGATATGGTTGTGCACCCTCTATTATTTAAAACCAAACGCTTTTATAACTTAAAACTGATTCATTTTTGCACATTACACACTTTTAGAGAAACCAATTTTATGTATGATTATTGAATATTTGCCATTATTTAAATGAACATTGGTTTTTCGATTGCTGCGCGATGAAAGCACCACTGGCTTTTATTGGTGTACTTAAAAGTTCGATTTCGCTAATAACACACACAGGTACACACACACACACACACTTTCTCGAGGTTTCTTCTATTGTGCCTTTTAATACGACGTTGTTGTTGCAGGCTTTTTGGGTGTACATAGAGTTTGAAATATTACACAACGTGAAGACGTGATTGTATTATAGGGCGTAACATCGAAGTTGGATGCGATATGCAACAATAATATAGACATCACCACCTATGAAGTCTAATTATATTGATTTGATGTTACTGTAGATCTGCTTCCTGAAAGAAAGAGGTGTATGTACAGCCTGCTAACCCTGTCAAAGCAAAGTATTGTGTTTGGGTCAAAAGATGGTCGATAAACTGACCTCAGTCAGAGAACTACTGAAAAAAGACAGATAGTACTGGTGGGCTGATTAGTTCTTGTTTGGAATTTACTGACATCTTGAATCCCCTTTTTACATAGTAATTTTTGTGGTAAATATTTTTATACAAGAAAAACAAATTCTCAAGTATTTGATAGAAGGAACTTGACTGAATTCAAGATAGATGTCGTCATGAACTGATATCATTTAGAGGAAACCATTAAAACCCAGGAAGTACTGCTAGTCTTCAGAAGTATTGTAGTTAATCCAAAATCTGCACACATCGCATAATCTGACAATCAGCCACCAACTCACTGATAGTTACCTGATGGATTCCCCAAAGTTTCGATGGAAAGTCGTGATCAATGGGACCGGCCACGCCAAGACAAGAGGTCGATGATCATTGAAGAGACTGGAGAAGGCAACGCTATTTCACGAGTTGACCAGATTAAAATTCATGGCCAAGTGATTGAATGATTGTAACCTGAAGCCCTGGACTCGATCCCTGGAGAGGTTATAGATACACACTTCTTAACAGCTCGAAGCAAGGACGAAATAGTTTTTCAGTTCTCCCTGGTTTTTTAGTGATCTTTCTAAATGATATTGACTTGTGACTTGCGCAGTTATGATTCCATTAGTGATTGATAGCAAAATCATCAGCTTACAAGGCAAACTTGTCAACCATCCAGTCACTGGGTTAGAATCCATGAGACATAACATCTCTCGGTGGCTGCGATTCACCTCCATCTCAATCCAAAGCTATCGATGAGCAGCTATACTCACACGCAACATGATGGATACTACCTTTTCATGACTTAGTATTACTATACCTTAGGAATTCTTTTCTGCAGCTAGTCGACAGTGATTATCTTTGAAGCGATATCTTCTGCGGTTCACTTTTCTTCCAGGGTCATCAAGGCAATTGTGAATGTAAGCAAATTTGGCTAAAAAATGTTTCTGATGACAGGAATCATATACTCCTGATTTAATTGAAAATACTAGCAAGCATGTTACGTCATTATTCTTTTTCGGCTGTCTGTTTAAATCACTGAACAACCATCCATAAAAGAAGAGATTTGGTAGATAGCCAACTTATGAGAAAAGTCCCGTAGACCCAGGCGTTACATTATGCAATAGAATTTTAACAGATTTAATATCGATTTCATGAGACAAAACTACTTGTTATTTTTTAGTCATTCGAAAGTAATTAAACAATTACTAAATGCCACTGAAAAATGAATAAAGTTAAAATAAATATCTCCGAAACACATATATAAATTTACAACAGTTAATCTGTAGAGGTTTGATTTCTATTTCAGGTTTCATCACAAGCTGATGTCAGTTAGAGAACTATTGAAAACCTGTCCTGGAGTACTGAACAACTAACTGTTTGGACCTGTCTGTCTTGTTTCAACATAGAACTTTGCGCAGATGTGCAGCAGTTCAGTTCGCCACACTCCCTCCTTGTAGCACACAAAGAAAGAGAAGAAAGTAGAAGAAATGCATAATAGTGACAATAAACAGAGATATGAGACAAAGGAATAGTAATAACGAAGAACAATATAGTTTCATTGGATATAATAAGTCACAAGGAGTGGATGCATCTGCGCCAGTCATTGAGAACGATTTTGAGCCATATCACCAATTGTCTCAAGTGTCCATTGGTGTTTACCGTCCCGAGGACCCTAACCGGTCGGAAAGTCTACACTTTCTTACGTGGCTTAAAGTAACCGTTGTGGATTTCATTGACTGATAAAGTCATGTTTTGATTTGACCGCCACTAGCTCTTTTCCAGCCTGACCAACCTATGTCAGCTAACATTGCCCGTCGAGGAAGGCGATGATTGGGCATACGTAACATGTCTAGTGACCATCTCAGCCGATCCAACTTCACAGCCTCGTTGATTGATTTCCCCTCCTTACCTAGCAGTCGACAGGCGACTAACCTCAATATTGCTCACCTTATTATACCACTTCACATGGGATATAGAGCGCAGGCACTTATGGTCGAAGACAGCCAATCTTTTCATGTCTTCCACTC